AAACAGAACAGCGTCAACGCAGGAACAGTGATATCGTTTACTCCATAGCACAGCCGATGGCAAACGGACAACAACCATTAACAGGCCTTCGAGTGTGATCGTCTTTTTTTGAATTTTAACTGGGATGACAAACAGTAGTTTCAATTTCATAACGACTCAATCGGCTCGGCGACATCATTGCCATCCTCGCTATATGTATATATATATATATATATATACGAAAACATTGCGGAGGGAAAAACCTGACACGCTTTGCACGTACTCAAAGACAGGAGCAATAGCAATAACAAAAAAAGCTAAACGAATAGAACTCTGTGAAGAGTTTTTCTGTGAGAGACCAGCATAGCTCATATATGTGCAGTAAGCGAACACGGTAGATATGGCCGACAAAACCATAATATTTTCTTTCAAAACTCATAGCCATGGTTTATCGCACAGGCGCACGACGATGCTCTTGAGTTCTCTACGAGAAAAGGCTAAATATCGTCATGCCTGTATCTGTTAAGTATCCTCCCGCCTTTAATGTCGTACTGAGGAAGGTTGAAGAAATATATACAGAGATTGCAACAGCAGCGAGAACGATAGATCTTCCCAGCCCGCCATCAGCCGAGTTTCCTGTCGAACGAAGAGCAACACATCGACACGAGCGACACAGCCGGTGCCCGAATCATACGAACAAATTTATAATCATCCTTATTTAACAAACGAATCATAACAAATGGCCACGTCGGGGGGGCGGGACTGCGATAGAGAAACGTTACTTAATGGGCTGGCACACAATAATTTATATTATTTACCAGCTTATTTATAATTCAGCTGCTACAAGTAAATCCGGCGGGCATTTTAGTAAGTCGTGAAGTAGTTCGGTTGGAATGATATGTTTTTTTTTTTTTAAATCTTAGACGAACTAGTTATGGTTGTGAGGTAGAAATACTCTCCTTTTTATATCAGCGCTCTAGCAGCTTCTGAACATCCATGTTTCTACTAGTCGAGGTCCCATACGTAATTCCTCTATTTGTACTTCCTCAAAGTAAATCGATACTGGGATATGCTTGCCCACTACTTGCCCTTATTAAAGCATTGAGGGCCTCGAAATCGCACGGGGCCTATATCGAGGGAATAAGCCGATTGGAGAACATTTCCAATGGAGGCTTGACATATTTATACAACTAACCAGACTGCTATTCCTTATGAAAATCGAGATATGGAGCGCATTCATTTTTTGCGAGTATCCCGTCGTAGCAGATACAAGTGCTTCACCTTATGTCCGAATCAAGTCGAACTCGATTTTTGTCCAGGGCCATTTCAATCCTTTGCTTGCTTCCCCTCAGACTAGCAGTGGATATTTAGCCATGTGACCCCTGTGACGACCATACACTCCAGACGGGTTGTTTATTCATTAAGGTTCCGAAAATAGGATGTGCAATACGCCACATTCACGGGGGACCCATTTTTTACTCGGGTATACTTCTTCTTCTTCTTCACGTTCTTACACGTTCAATGTAAAATACCAGTCTTAGCCGATAAAGCTCTTGGACCTCAAACCCTACTTTCGTAGGGTCCTTCGGCTACCAACGTTTAGTCGTCTTCTCACTGGTTTTTAATGCTCTAATCGTCATTCTTGAAACGTTTGCACCATTCACGTACTCTATTCTTACTTGAAATCTCCTTCTCTAATGTCTTCGCTAGGCACTCTGGCCCCTGAGAAGCAACACTTAACCGCTGAGTACTGATTGTCAATACTAAAAAATGTTTTCAACTTTATGAAGCTGTTTCTCTTGAAGTAAACTTAACCTCAAGTTTCTGTAGTCAATTTCAAGTATTTGTCTGCTGTCGGTGGATAGTTATCCAGCTTATTCAAAATATCCGCCAATTTCCTCTGTAACAGCCTAATATTATTACTGTATTTCTAAGTGGATTCGATGATTGATCGGAAAAACTCTACTAGAAACTGCAACTGCAAGTAAAGTTGGATCTTTTCAACTTTATACATATACGCATAAAGTACATTAGGGAAAATTACATGCTTCGAATTAGATGCTTTTATGTGTATACAGAATATGTATGCCAATTGGAGATACCATTGTCTGGACCAATGTGTACGCTGGTGAAGAAGGCATGTCAGGAAAATCAGCAGATATTTTTCATTCTCATGGTAGCGTCACGAGTCCTTAAAGAACATTGTTTCTTAGGCATAAAAGGTGGCCCATAAGCTGCTGCCACGTGACAAGTGCTTCTGCCACGCCTGATACGTCAATTGCATGGCTATCGTATTATGGAACGGCTGCAGCAGCGACAGCAACGGTGAGCTCATTTCAGGCAACGAGTGACCGCCCGGCACTGAGTCGACCTAACAAGAGTCCTCTCTTAACGAATTTTGCCTACTACACTCAGACGTTCCGACTGGGCACCGATCTATGGCTCTTCCTTCTGAATATAAATTCTGCCTTTGTATATAATTTTTCCTCCTTCTCTGGCCATCGGAAGTTGGCCAGATCCAGCATGTTCAGCCATTGACGGGAGTTTAAGACACTGGTCAGACTCTTATACATCTCTTTCTATCGATACAACGACACGAACCCAGGCAGATATTTATGATCACAACTTATGGCTCAACTTTGGAAAGACCACAACTGGATAACAAGTTAACTACTAAAAAGAAACCCAAACTCATATCCACCTGTATCTCGATCTGTTCATAACATCGCATTCTAGACACGATTACACAGTATGTCTGTACATCGCTTTATATCAGGTTTCGATTTTAATAACGGCAGAAAGTAAGCAAACAGTAATCCTTTTTTGTTTTTTTTTACAAAAGTAAGCAAACAGTAATCCTTTTTTGTTTTTTTTTACAAGTCCAGTACTTAATCCCTATGCACGCAACTTTTTTTCAAGTACCAACCGGAGTGAATATTATTGTTTCCCTATTATTGTTTCCCTATTATTGTTTCCCCTCGCTCAAAAGCCCTATAAAACAAGCAACAAACGTCGTCGTGGAAACAGGATAATAAGACCTGAGGTAAAAATAGCTATACTGCTCTCATCATAGTGAAACTTCGTACCAATATCATAGCTGTCAATCAAAGCAAACATTAGGTGGAAATAGGCTGTCTCACTGGAGACGGCCTAGTGGGTAACGTATTTGCCTGCAAATCTTTGGGTCACATTGTGGTCCAGGTTCGTACCGTGTTGAGAAAAACTCTAAACATAGAAAGGCTGCATGGAACAAATCCAATTGACTCCGTTTTCATGTTGAGCAAAAGGTTTCTCATTCTCTGTAATGCTTCTTTTGTCAGGTTCATCGTCGTACAGCTGCCGTTGTTTTCTAACAGCTAGTTGATCTCTGAAGGCCGATTGTTGAAATGTGGTTCAGCATTCACCAGATGCTGGTTAGGCGATTATGGTTACTAAAGAGAGCTTGATTACTGCTAACTTTAGCGGCTGTTTCTTGGCGTAAGGTCAGAAAAGGCCGCGAATGATCACCTAACGATGAGACTGTATGCATAGGAATGAGTGATACTTTTGCGGATCATCACTAAGCTTCAGTTGCAAACGATTCAAAAGCTATTAATGCTTTATCAGCAGTAGCTGCTTTTTGTGGTGGACCTCATTCGTTGTGTACAAGTCCGTACGTTCATGTACACTAAGCATAATAACACACCGGATTAGACTGTGCTATGCGTCCGCGTGGGGTTCCTACGCAATGGATGTTACTGAGGCTGCGTTTTCGTCACAGTTTTCAACCACCTTCCTTCACACACTGCACGCACTCTACAATATGACCTATTTTGACAAAGCATCACATCTTACACATCCAGCAAAAACACAACAAAATTTGCTCATCGCAACGGTGTCGATCGGATACTTTGATTGGAAAGCAGTTAATAAACTACGAACCCGCATTGAAGATAAAGTATATATGCCAAGGCAGGTATCAGAGCAATTTTCGGCAACGTAAGACAACACACGCTACTGGCGCGCTTCTTTTCATATGAATGTAGTGTCCTGCGTAATAGGGCCAGTTACACATGCAACGTAAGGCTAACGGTTGCGGGGCATCTCGTAAGTCATATAGAGGAAACCTTTCCAACGCTCATGATAGTCTAGGTGACCACATTACGCAAACGTCTTACACTGTTATCGGTCACTCGCTATGTGTCTGTCGTCTTTGGCCTGGCGCGACTACTAGGCCCATCGGCCGAGCGGGACGCAGACGCTATATGTCTGCATCAGCAACAGCTGCAAAAACAGCACCATAGATCGACTCCTATGCCAGTCGTTGACTGTGTTGCACACGCGGCTGCAGTTGGAGACAGCTGCAACAGTAGCCACAGTAGTTGTGATCCCAGCGTTTTCGGCTTACTACTAGAAGGCAACTCAGATCGATGGAGCCAGCAGGAGATCCAAGTAGCATCATAGAACAAACAAATGACCGCCCGGACAGGTATTAAATAGTCAGGTATTGAATAGTGACCATGATAGGCCGACAACCACGTGTCTACAACGATGCCCCTGCCAGTGGCAACGGTGACGCGGACTAACCTAATGTCGCACATACACACCCGGGCAAACAGGTCTAGTCACGGACGTAAAAGCACATAACTGCACGAACAAAAGATAACCGTATTAAATAATAAAAACAATAGCTGCTTCCCATGCCAAGGTTTTTTTTGTCTTACTAATCTCCGTTGTTACAAAAGGTAAATGAATCATTCGCAGAATGATAATGAAATAAAAACTAATAGCGGGACATATAGTGTGACCCAGTACTGCTGCTGTTTCTTCTGTAATGATATGATAGCGTTCCAAAAGCTCTAACGAAGGCTAACATGTATGGAAGGGTGTACACTGATATTGCTGACTACTCGAGCCTTCGGCTATCCAGGCCGTTTCCAAGAAGACTCCCGTTAAACGTCGTCTCCACTTCGTTTCAACACAATGGTGATTATGGTGATGGTATATATATATATATATATTATGATAGTCATAATACTCACAAACGTAGGGTCCAGCTGGGCAGATCCTGAGGAACGGTGGTGAGCCCTTTGCGACTGCAGTCGACGAACTCCTCGAGGCAGGTGCAGAGAGCAGGGCAGAACATGTGCTGACCCCGTGTTACCCCAGACAACGAAAGAAATAGCACAAATTGTGTCCACCGAACCACCCAGGCGACTGAGGCGGTCATTTCTCTTTTGCGGTTACACTGTGCTGGTGATGATGGACGATACGATAACAGCAGCGGTTCTAGAGAGCTACGCCCGTCCGTAGTTAAGCTGGGCCGTACACAGATCACCTTGGCTGACTACTTAGTCGGTCGAGATACACGTTACCCCGGGGTTATAGTTAATAGGAGGTGTATTGTCATAGACTCACTGCGCATCACTCGGGGGCACATATGCCACACAACTTGATTATATATATATACGAATAACTGAGTGAGGACTCACAAATTCACGCCACCAACTAACTATGTAATGCACATTACATAATCGCACTAGTAGATCTACGATCGTAGTAGTAGATAATGTTATAGCTGAATATATGTAGATAGATCCTCAATATGATACACAATTATGGGGGGACCGAACGACGGAGATGCCCAATGCGCTCTTCAATTAATAACTGACCCACCAACTATGAACAGGTTGACTGAGTAACGGCGCACTCCACTTCGCTGTCAGACGTCGATGCTGATGACAAGAAGCGCTAATCTTCTATTTATCCGCTTGTTTTACTAGACAATAACTAGGGAGGTGCGCACACTCACACATGCAGACACATTCACAACCGGCTCAGCGCGACCGCATACTGCGCCATACTCAATTTCTTGATAAAGCCTCGGATGCCAGCCAGTTGACAGTCTGAAGGTCTCCTCTTTTCAATTTACATGTAGCATTCGGGGACTGCTGACGTTTCTAGAGCTCCTGCTGCTGATTGATTGATCAATGAGGCCGCGTGGCCACTCAGCGTCGCAGTAGATCATCATCACAATATCGCGCGCGAAGGGTATAACGGCGATACGATATCGTAGATAGATAGATAGATAGATAGATGGATCCACAAGCGAAATCATACCGCTTTTTATCATCTTAGCTCAAAACGGCGAACCTCAGCTAATCACATATCGCGAAGATCACCCGCTGCTTAGTTTATTTTTCTTTCGGTTTTTTTTTTTCTATCATTATTCGACTTGTTTGTTGTGAACGCCGAACTTCAGTTTCGGTTACCCCCTTTGACCCGCAATGCAGTCTCTGTGTCAGCTACTTTTCACTCCTGATACGCTTACACCCTCGTAGCGCCACCGCGAGCACCGTCGCCAACAGCCACAGTAACAATGGTCAAAAAAAATAGTAGTAATAATTACTAGTGAAAACCAGCTCAGTCAGTTGCTTTCTCAGGAGCTTCTCTCGATAAGGTGCGACTCTGCACACGCCAACGGGGCTGGTCGGGCCAAAGCAATCTCGTCGTTGCGCATTCTCTGCAGCTACTGCTGTTGCCTGTTACGCAATTGCCTGTTAGCTCGTTCACTCGCTCGGTTTTTTCTCGTTTTTGCTCTCTCGCGATTGGCGTTGTCACTGCGGGTCGCCATCGGCGGCTTGTCCTTGGATCCTCCTGCTTGCAGGTCTTCTGGCGATGGGTCAGCTGCGCGATTACGCCAGTCTTGTATTCACTGGTCGCATCGATAGTCGTGACCGACTATGCTCCCACGAGTACGGTTTCCCGCAGAGGCGGCTGCGAGAGTAGCGGAGACCCGTCGTTGTCGTTGCCGTTGCCGTTGCCGCCGTCAGTCACACTGTCGTGTCTCTGCGGTAGCGACCTCAGCAGCAGCAGTAGCTATTGCGACGGCCGTAGAGACAACTGCTCACTCTCGATATGGCCGCAATAGTCGCCGCGCTGGTTAGACTAGAAGCAGCGCCGTGTCCGGTCGACGGCGTCACCGCCAATAACGCCGCGACCAAGTTCGCTGGCAGTGAAACAACTTCGACTAGAACTGATGTGGCTGCTGGCACCAGCAAACGTAGTCACGCCCGCTACTGCTGCTGCTGCTGATACTGTTTTAGCAATATTGATGTGGCCAGTATCGGCCGCCACCTGACCCGCACCTGAGCCTGACTCTGAATCCGAGCGCTCTGCGCTACTAGGATCGGTACGTGTTGCGACAGGGCGATCACGAGCACCCCGCCGCAGCTGTTCGTTTCAGCAGCAGCAGCAGCAGCAGCAGCAGCAGCAGCAGCAGTAACTACCGGTAGAGCTGGCGGTAATGGAACGAACGCCAGTAACTGCAGATAGAGCTATGCAAAGCGCGCGGGCAGTGGGTCGGGTAGAACGGTACCGCTGGTCAGTATCGGCAACGATGCTGTCCGCGGTCGCAGGAACCGTATCCCTATTTGCGTTGCTTTCAATACTGCTATGATCTCCAGGATAGAAAAGCACAATGACAACAATGGCAAATTGCCGACGAAAGCTCAGGTTTTCGCGCAGTGGAAGTCGGCAGTGGAAATTTTTACTGTTTGGGTTACTGTGCTGCCGCTACATGAACACGACGATGTCGACTTTGGTCGCTTTGGCGGTCGTTGCTCCACCCGTCTCGGTGCAGTAATAGCCCCAGCTTCGGATGTTCGTTCTGCTACGGAGGCGAGCAGAAATGGCCCCGTTCGAAGTGGATAACGACTCCTTTCTGGCCGCAGTAAATCGAGACGAGAACGAAAAGTGATCACAGCGAGTCGATTGTAGCTCTCCTTGGTAGCATAAGCTAGCGGAGTGCCTGCAGCTTTGTTGATATTACCCTTTCGATCCTTTATTTCTTGTAGTAAGTTGTAGTCCAGAACGGCTGCGTCGTCTTTAATCCCGTTCGTTACTGTTGCGGTGGTCACTAGACTTGCAGAGGGGACCAACGTAGTACTCAGAAACTGCTGAAAATGGCGGGCCAACGACTGACGAGACATTATTGTCTGCGCTACTCACTGACTTGCTGTAGTCGCAGCTCACACAGCAGCAGTTGACGACCACATGCTGCTGCTGCTGCTGCTGCTACTACTACTACTACTTCACATAAAACAGCACCAATAACAACCTGCTCCCACTCCCGCCCGTACAACTCTGAGAAGGGAATGCCTCAAGTCGACTTAGTTCCGCGTGTGACCGCTGGTGGCGCTACGGTCAATGCGGTTGCGTGCCCTCCTTTCCACTGCCGGTGAATCAGTGGCGCAAGATTTTGAACGATAGGCTGAATGTAGCGCAGTTCAAAGCATGTATGTATCACTTGCATACATTAAATGCGAACGTACGGGTGGAAAAATGTCAATGAGATGCTACTTTGAATTCCAAGAGGTTTCATTGACGTGTGAAATCAAAACTACTTGGTGGTACTAAACAGTAGTAACCATAGGAGTTAGTGACCGCGAGTTCGGTGGATGGCAATAGCAAATAGGATTTCGTCAGTGTTCCTATTTGTTGTTACAGCTTTATCTGGGCACGTAACACATACGCACTGGCCTGCGGTACCTTTATTTCACATGATGTGACAGTCTAGTATGCAAATACGTTTTGTCGTCTGGGGCCCCTGCCTAATTTTGGCTCCGTCGGGTTACGTTCCATAAACCAGCCTCGATAAGTTGGCGAAGTGGTTTACTAGTTCGGTGAATGCTTTCCATAGTTGTGATTGACATATATATATTCAATCGTATAAATAAAGCATAACGACATGTCTTACATTTATAGAGATTGAGCTGCCTTGTAAAGCACGGTTTTTCTCAATCTGACTACTCTTGCAGACCTACTAGAGTGTAATGCGAAGGGTTCGAAAATTATTCCTATTTATAGACCGTTGTCGCTAACATCGTGATTTCCTGTGTCGACTTTGTTGTGTCGGAGGTCCTGTGGGGCATCTTAAATTAAACTAACGATGTAAGATGCATGGTTACGCTTCTGATGTTACTTCGATTGTATAACATATTCCCTCTCCAACTAAGCAAGTAGCTCGAACTTTATAGATGTAGTCAATTTAACGTATAGCGATTGTAACTAGTATGAGCTTCTACAAGCTGTTCCAATATTGTATGCAATATATTTATAATTAATAAAATAGCCACTGTTCCTTGGCTAAACTGTTGATTAAAATGCAAAACCTGCAAAAAAATTCTGACACCCGAGGTAGCAACCTAATATGACATAGCGAAGGATTACATGCTCGTCTAAGCAGTTCCTTTAGGAATCGATCCGACGATGCTTCTGGAAAGCAACACCGCGTATTTGTTATTTGGCCTTTCGAGTAAATCATCATTCAGGCATTTTGCGTAACGGCTACAGAACGACAAACGGTCAGACTGTGTAAATTTTTTTTAAATGTCTCTAAGATCAACAACTTTACGGCCGGTTTATCATATATCTAGTTCTAATGCGTCATGCTGTTGCTTGGCCATTATCATTTGTTGGCCTGATTAATATTTATATATTTTATTTACTTCTACCGTTGTCTCTCAGTGCCGTATACCATTTCAATCTGAAATGCACTGCCACAAATCAACTACGTCAGGAATAAGGCACTGCCTAACCCCCCAATAAATCTGAAGTGGCCTTGAATCTACTCTAGAAAAAACGGACTTAGGTCAACCTCAGAATCAATGTGTATACAAATATTATGAAATCATTTCGAAACACGTAAGGGTTGTCAAAATGTTCTCTTGGATTCCTGGCCTGGCAATTTTTACATAATTTTGTTTTTGTTTTTTTGCCTATATATGAACCTATCGTTTTGCAGAGCTTACGTTCTGACTGAGTTGAATTGAAAGAGCTAGGCGAAAAGTTGTCTTCAATAAGCAGATGTTGTAGTCAGCCTCATACGGTCAAACGTTAGTTACGCGCCATCAGTAATTACAACTTCTCATGAAATACAAAAAACAATAACAAATAAAAAAACAACGGTTTTGTTGAGCTTAATTTAAAAGACCTGCACTGCGTATCCATCCATTAGAAGTGATATAGGCCGAATATGCCTAACTTTGAAATGTGTCTAAAGGCACGCCGCTGGTGATATCCGTTTACGGCTCGGATTTTTTTTTATTTTTAATAAGTATTTGTTAGATTCTGCCGTCTTTGCATCCTAAAGCACGTATAATGTCAGACTTCGGCCAACGACCTTGCTTGTCTAAACGTACTGATATTTATCCATGTCGTTTAACGGGCAACTCTATTACTGGAAATGCAGTTAATGTCAGTAACAACGGTATCGATAATATGTTATGTCGTTATTCGGGCTCTGTTCTCATCTCTCGTACTTATGTAATATCAAGCGATCGGCAGACGAATTTTTTTTCCGCACCATAGAAATACATCGCTATTTTGCTATGGTACCATGATAGCCGAAAGCCCCTAGGACCCAATGGGGAGCCAGCAGCCCTTAATCGTTATTTGCCATTTTGTGATGGACCTTCCTGTTGACAAGTGCTACCAAGAAGACTAACATAACAATACATCCATGCGAATCTATTGATCTCAAGATAAGGTGAAGTATTTACGGCGTTGCCGTGGTGACCGACTTCAGTCTGCTGCAATGTGAAGCTATACAAATTACCCACCAAAGGGACTACTGATAGGTACATACAATGTTTGATACTTGTGGCACTATTATTGACGGTTCCTTTGAAAGTCAGCTTGAGCTCTTGATCGCTATTGATCGTACGGGATCAAGAGATGATATCTGTACTGGCGTGCTTTCGTTACTGGAGGATCACTAGCCGATCAGGTACCTGCCGTATTTCAACCACCCCCATACGCTTTCATCAGTCTACCAATTGAGACTTTGTTAACGTGCGAGATCCATGTTTCAAGTTCACCACGCAGGAATAAGTGAATAGGTTTAGAGAGTTTAGAATATCTAATCTTCTGGAAAAAGGCAACACCCTTATCGTAAACGCTTGCGGATCGCGTCGGCGACAAAGTAGCAAAATATAGATTGTGATGGATGATCTTGCGTGGAAGGACTGACGTTAATTGGTTGCCTTTTGCGGCGCCATGAAGTTTGAGCTAAATGTAGGAACCGGTTACGGCTGCAGTCTTCGCTGTGTTTTCTGTTGGTCAGGCGAGTTTTTGCTGATAAACCCCCAGAGGCTACCATTATTCCAGCGTAGGAAGCAATAGGGAAAGGTGCCATTGTGAAGGAAAATCTACCTGTAATTCCTTTCTAGCAATGGCAGTAATAGCGTCAAATTTCGAAGGCCAGCTATAAATATAACATTTAGAAGGAACAATTCGCAGACTATTTTCACAAGTACGAATACCTAGTATTGTTTTTAGTATACGGGGAATGGATTTTCGGTAGCAGGATTAAGATCGATACAGGTTAGAAATCTACGTAAAGTCTTCTACAAAGCTCAATGATGACGATGTCTGCGAAAATGACAGATACCAAAAAGGCTCGGTCTGGTCTTTTAGATGATCAAAGTGCAAACGCCACTATTGACAATGAATCAGGTGTTGCCTAACTACTATACACTCGGACGTTAGGATTATTGCGGTTGATAGGGATGGGATCGTAAATTGTTGTATGGCGCCCCATTCTGAAAGCTTTCTATAGAGTTCTGTTTTGTTCCGTTGCGGACTTCAAGTTTATTTCTGGCAACTACTCTTGTACTGTTCTACCAACTGGCAATGTTGTCACGGCTGTCACTATTGAAGCAGCATCAACCGATTTTTCCGCTCCTACATCTACCTACAACAATGTCCAGGTTGGGACGTTTGCCGTATTATTATCATCATCAATAGCTACAACAGCGACAAATCAACTGAATCCATCTATCGGCAAAGCCATGAACAGCTCCTGGCTCACGTGGGGCCAGTGATAACGGTGATGCAATGCAGGGCATAAATCTAGCTTTCTTCAACGCAGCAACTACGGGAGTAGACGGGTTATTTGGAGATATACACGCAAAAAGTGAGCCTGGTTATTGAGACTCCGATGTTCCTTCCCTGGTTTTGCACAGGTGCAAGAAGGCTATGTTTGCATCAACGTCCCCATGTTTCACAGCTATCACGGATCCTGTCTCAACAGAGATGATGATGACAGAGCGAATGATACAAGCGTCGGGCCGACAACAACTCGAAGCTTGGCGCGAAACATTTATGATGCTGCTGTGATCAGTGTTGCAGCGACTTTTACAGCATCAGCTGCTATTGCCGCTGCTGCGACAGTCACGCCGCCGTCGTCATGTCAGCCGCATGACACAACGGGAAACAGCGGAAGTTACAGCCAGTACAACAAGTACTTGAGTCGAGTTAATCCAGCGAAGGACGACAGTGCCCGATTAGACGCCGTCACAAGCGAAGTGGAAGTAGGCAATAAACAACCGGTAGTTACTGGAGCTTGAGAGGAAAGATCATCAAAACGACTGCCGTCAACAGTATTGTCAACGTTGTCAACAAAAACTACTTGACCATCGTCGATACCAACATGGTGAAGGTTTACCCTATGACGAAAATTTTTTTTTATTAAAGGATTGCACCGAATTCGTTGCTTCCAGAACCACTTACGCGGTTCGTTGTCGAACAATATCGCCCCGCAGTTAGAGTGAGTGGATGCGTGTGTGCGTGCTTACCTGATTCATTGTATTTGTTATACCTTTACATGTGCTTTCGTGTTGTTACGTCTATTGATGTGTCCGTACATTTGTTTATATACTTTTCAGTGTTTGCGCGTATTTCTGAATAACGGCATTTTATTGTGTGATGCATGTTCCGGACAAGAGACGCGTTCATACTGCAAGATGCAACACTTTATATTTCGAGCGAGATGTCTTAAGTGAGCTATGTACCTCCATATCGACAGCACAGTAGCTCTACGGGCAAGTGTTGTAATGCAAAATAGATATGTCTACGTGGATATGTGCGGCCTGTTAAAAGGCACACGCAGGTTAAGATGCTAGCCTAAAAACAGTCGTTGATGCTGTTTTCAAGCGATTAAAATGAACTTGACCTAAGCAATTTGGTTGAGTAGTTACGCTTCGTCTTTGCCCACATATTCAAGCGGTACAATGCAGCCTACGCAGGACTGACGTGAAAGGCAGTTGTAGTGTATAATAATGCTGGACCTGAGGAAAAGAACAGCAGCGCCACATTTCTGCCGTGTTCTGACCCGCGTATCCGTGTTATGTGGTGTAGCGTTGTGTTGTCTTTTTGTGAATAGCAGAAGGCAGCTTCATAGGGCATATCTGTGTAGATTGTTAGGTCAAAGGGTGCGCAAACAGCAGTGGCAGAAGGGAGATACCCCTCAAGGCAATCACTAGCTCTGGGCAAAGGCTAAACTTTGGAAAGTTGTATCTAAGATAGCCCTTTAATGAGGGCTTTGCCTTCCAGTGGTCAAATAATGCACGTCAGCTCGGCTCCATCCTCTTTACAATATCGAACGGTTTTCGCTTTCCTCTTCAACGTACCCTCCCAGCGGTCAAGAGATACATAGACCTTGGTAAACCCGCCATAGTCCTTAGCACTGTGCTAATTTTTTCCTAAGTCAGCCTAACGTAGCGTCTAGTTTGAAGACTTTTGCGTTTCTAAGTTACGTTCTACGTACGTATGTGTGGCTTTCCTTTTTCAGATGTTTCGCAGGCCGTAACGAAAAAGTGTTTCCTAGCTTAATTCGCTGTGTCCAACATCTGTACAGCGGCTCCGCTGGTCCGCAGCGGCATTGCGGATCTTAGCTTTCCAAACACTTTCCACTAGAAATCGTTTCAATCAGCTACGAAAATTTCGGTAATTAAGGGTTCGTACTTACCCAGTTTACAGAACAGATCGACGTGGTATACATCAGGAAGGAAGAGCGTCCAAAGAAACATCATATTCTGCTCAATTCGCAGTTGAATTTGAAGAATTTCAAGCCAACAAATGATAACTTCGTGATTCTTTCCTACCTTATTTCTACGGTCATCTTCTTAAGAAACATCATCTTGGTAATAATGGTATTCACGTGTTTCTGTCCGCGTGACAAAGACGAATCGTCAGTTCCGCCGATTCAGACGGCACCTATGCCGACGTATCAGCCGCCGTCGGTGACAGCAGACACCATGAACAACCAGCCAATGGCTCTGCAGCAGCAGCAGTCATTCCAAAACCCTCACAGCAACCCCCACCCGTTCGCACCCTCTACATACGGGCCAGGGTCTGTTGTACCCACTGGGCAATATTCAGCTGACCTATACCCTCCAGGGCAGTATCCATTTGCAGCGCAGTTTTCACCCCCAGGACCGCATTTACCAAGACAATATCCATCAGGACAGTACCCATTTTTTAGCCCATATCCACCTGCTGGACCCTACTCTCCTCCAGGCTCTTATCCTCCTGCCGCCCCGTATACGGTAACGGGCCAGATTGCTTCAGGAGCTCCTGTTCCCGTAATGCAACAACCAAACAGATCAGGCGGGGGCTTAGGTAGTGTGGGCACGTTTGCGGTAGGGGCTGCCGCAGGAGGCCTGGCAGGCTATGCCATCAACTCGATGGTTCACTCAGTAGATCACGGTAACAATGAAGAGAACCGCAGCGATACAGCTGACCACGAGACCACGGCAACGGCAAAAGTCGAACCGCAAAGGGACATTGACGTGATTCAGGAATACCCCAACAGAGGAGGCATGTATGGCGAAGTTGAGTCCGCGTACCAACAGCCGACGTATCCTAGTGAACAAACCACCCACAGTCCACCCCCCGGTGCCTACCAAGAGCCTTCGCACGATTCGGGTGACTTTGGCGGAGATGATATCAGCGGCGATTGTGTCGGTGAAGGCGACTCCGTCTAGCCGATAGCGGTTGACGTAATCATCAAAGAAATCAACCTAAGGCAGTTAGACCGAAAGGAAAAAGGAGAGCGAGAAAGGAAAGCAAAGGTACTATAACGTGACGTTTATGAGGATTGTTATGATAATATCTGTAAGTACTGTAATGCAATTGCAACAGCTCCTACGAGATTACATTTTATTAAAGTCTGCGTCTTATATTTGTTGTTACAAAAAATAAAAACACCCTACTATAAATTTGTGGAAGGTACAACTGGTCTTGTAGAAACGTTCAGCTGGGATTTTGCTAGACTAACTTGGTCCTATTGGAAATCTCAGGTCATCTAATACTAAATTGCCGGTTTTTGCAGCATTTTTATTTGAGCAAACACGTATAGTTTTCGATGATGTAGCATAAAACGTACCAGAGATGCGTGAATTATACAGAAAAAGAGCTCTATAGTTTCATAGAGGCAGTTTCGGAACCTTTAGGTCGACTAGTCTTCATGCGGATGGTTCGAATACAGGCAAGCAGATTCGTAGTGTCTTTAACCATTTCTTATAATTTCAATATTATCTACTCGTAGTTAAGCTGGTGTCACTCAATTCATGTAGGTTCAATGTAGTCAACAATGGCTAGAAAACCTTCTAGCTGGGTAGTGGCGCCTACATCGCGTGCTTATCGATTAATATTTTTCTTTATGCCTTAATAGCTGTCTCATGCATCATAGAATGTTGGCCGAATACAACAGTGCACCTTGTGGAGACGCCCAGGAGACAGGCTTGGCCTCATCAGATAGCACGAGCCCGCGGAACATTGACATTGAATATTGTAGATGGCATTGGGTGAAAATTCAGTGTACTTTTCATGTCCTACGTAGATAAAGACTCGCTGTACCGTTAAAAAGAATAGGTTTCTAACAAATCATCAGACTAGGTTTGACATAACAGATTCCGTATAGCTGAAACAGATATCGGTAGCAGTTATTCTGTGTCGAACCTGCGAGTGAAATGAATAGTGGTTTATTTAACTAGGACATTGTACTGCACAGGCCAAAAATAGGTTTACGAAAGATGTGAGTGAAAAATTTGGAAAACAACAAAATTCGCAGCAGTTAGAAAAGTCGGCTCACTGGTCGAGCAGCCAGAAGGTTACCATTTTTTAAATGAAAGCTTTTGTCCTAAAAGTAGATTCATGTCAAGCTCCAATGCAAGCTGAGAAAGCCTCTTTTTCTCTCTGTAAGGGCATCTTTCTACACGGAGGAACAAACCAGAAAAGTCACACTAGAGCTATTTTAAAAGCACGCTAATCCATCAAATCATGATGTCGGTTAAAAGTAAATTAAAAAGTTACATAGTCCTTAGAGTTACACAGTCCTACATAGAGCTTAAGTATAGTGTGAGTGGATGAGGAGGGAAACGTTCAGTTTACTTTAGGTGATCTATAAATCCTTAGATGTTCAACAGGAAGCTACTTGTGAACAATGAGGTCGCCGTGCAGGCCTTAATACCTTTCCGCTTCACTCCGCCACGCTAATTTCTTGCCCATGATCAGTACAAGCTAATGCATTTCGAGGAGTGATATGATATTTTAGCATAAACAGGAATAACAATGTAAGGAGAATCTGTAGCTGAAAAAGGGCAAGGGCTACTTAACCAAGTCTAAGGCCCACCAAAAGTTTACCAAGGAACTCTATTCTACAAAGAAATTATGTAAGGTATTCCCGTGTAAACAAACACAAAAAAAAGTAGATTTTTTAAAAAAATTATTTGGTCAATGCTTCACATGAGCTATAGCCCACTTTTCAAAATCAGTTGCTGATTCACAGTGCATAATACTCCCCAAAAGAAAGACATTCTTCTTAAATAAGATTGGTTTTCACAGTAATGGGGCTCCTTCATTCACTTCGGCGGCCCCAGTTGGACCTGGTACGGGATGGTAACATGAAGATAGAATTACAAACGCGCCTGTTTTTTCTGTCGCTGACTCTTAGTATATCCTGGCAGGATGTGACCCAGCTGTGCGTGATAAATCGTCCTGAAAGTACAATTAATTAAGTTAATTAGCATGATGAACTATTTTTATTTTTTAGATGTTCACCTTTTTTGTAGTTACGGTTCTTGAAGTAAAGTTGGCCCTAATATCTATCGGTTAATGGCTATTTTGTGGAATGTTCCATTTCTAGATATAAAAAAAATTTGCATTTATATATGCACACCTGGAAAGCGTGTCGCATGATCTGTGATTATATGGTCTGGGGAAATATGCAAGACTGTATCGCAGCTAACTCCAAAATCAACCAGTGATTGCAACATGATTCAGGCTGTGGTACGTATTTCTTAATCGGAACATCGTGTTGTGTTACGTGGCGGTTCAGCTTTTCCTACTAGATCATCTCATCGTTAATATTAAATATAATGTAATTGCTTTAACTTATTAAATTTAAATATAATGTAACTTCAGTTGCAACGTACAACGATCGGCCAGACCCAATACCGCTGATATGACCGCGCTAATATGCTACGAGTAGCTTATTCTTGTTGCAGTTGATGCGTCCGACCCGGGCGGCGCACGAGTCGACGCACATGTCGGCAGTTACATGAGGAGAACGTTTAATAGATACCCCACTATCCCTGGGGCTCCGCCTCCAACAGGCAACATGAATAATCTCGCATCTACATCGACGTTCGTCGATCGTTTCCATATAGAGTACCAGCTTCGATCAGCCTTTGCAGCCGTAGACAATTTTGTTTCCGGCTACCTTTCCGGCGAACGTTCTTGTGAAATCGAAATGAATTGATGGTAATTGAATTAATGTTGACCCAACAAGGAACAGTCGAAGACCAGCGGTGAACAGGTTCTGGGCAGTATAATATTAACTGGGTCCAACAAAATATAAATAGGACATGTGCTATCGCCTCGCCGTTTTTCGTTCACGATAGCTACGCTTCCGCTTGTCTCGTTGATGATAATTTGTCGTGGTGAGAACTAGTCTAGATAATAGTCACTATTGTTGTCAGCACCGCGATTTACACCTGTTCACTTTGTTTCCTGATATATTGTAAAGCAAAATATATCTGAAGTAGGAGTGAATCATCGCAGCTGTTTGGCCATAGAGGCCAATGCGAGCCTTCGGAACAGTTTCTGATCATAAACTCAACTTTTCGTTCCATGAATGATCTCGCCGATGCAGACATAAATCAATATCGATTGCTAGTAAGCTTTTTTTTTTTTTGTATAAATATGTGAATATATAATAATTTAAGTTATCATATAGCTGGGTCATTGTCAGACACGCCGAACGCTTCTAGTGACAAAACTAATGATCAATTCAACATTCTTATCTTAGCTACCTGTAGTGCCTGCACTGTTCCTTAACTGATTCATCTATTGAAACAACGGTCGAAAAAGAGATAGGCAAGCACCCGTCGATTGCGGGGTCTGTTTGTGCTCTGTACGTTATTAGCCCTCTGTCCCTCCGTGCCCTGGTACGATGGCACTGCGAAAGTTGGTTATGCATGCTGACGATGCACGTGGTCCGCTCGAGGCTAGAACAGACTTCGAGCATTGATAACGGAACTGCAACGAAACACGGTCCTGTTCGCTGCGGCCCCATAAAGAATCAGTCGTGAGTTTGGCCGTCTCGCTTCAAGGATTCATGGGTGCAGCAAATACGTGTAAAGGACCCGGCCACATAAATCAAATACGAACACAGCGATACTTTCAAGCAACAAGTAATGTTTCCAGAGGACTATATTAGAGGTTTATATTTTTCAGCCAAAGTGTCTTTCTGTTTGTTACTGCCAGTGCGGTTGTAAAGCCGATCGACTGTGGCAATCATTTTCGGCAGGCGAGAACAATATGATAGGTATCGCGCGAGCTTATTCCGCGGGAAACAGTTCTATGTACGTATAACTGATCAATGTCGAGTCAGGGATTTGACCCCGCCTTCAAGTATATAGAGCAGATAGAGCAAGGAACTTATACATTCTTGCCTGTACTAGCAAAAGTGTCGAACTTCCAACGAGATCTACGGGCCGCATGTGGCAGATTGATCTCGGTTGAGACATTGTTGATTTGCTGAAAAACGCTGAGCATGTATACTGGCTGACCGTAGCCTCCGAATTGAACTATTCCTATCTGGCATTGGACGCTGCCCGAACGCCATGTAAAAACTTCAATCACAACCCGTATAGTTTACGTAAACGAAACAAATATACTTTTATGAAGAGATCGATTAAATCGCAAAAAGATTATCTTTTATTGACTAACAAAGATTACGAAGAACTCATCTAGATAACAGACGACACTATTGCTTGTTTTCCGCTGAGCCTCAGTTATTTAGATCTTCGAACGTAAATACGCCTCCTTACGGCTCGAGCCTGCGCGCTCCGAATGTTCGTACCACACTAGCTGAGGAAAATTACGACGACTTGTCTAGTGGAAAACATTCTATTGTCAGTGAAATCTTTAAAGATACTTATGTACCGTGGTCGAGAGTCAAGATAGGGTGTGCGTTTAGTAAAAGTATCGACTATCGCCGTAGGCCCATACTCTTCGTCGTAGGCACAACATAGGGTTGTTGATATCGACGATACAAGCTTACCGAACCGAGCGTTCACATCGTAGTGAAACTTCCATTTTCATCATCTGACTTTATTCCATACAGTAAAATTAGTTTACAGAAAGATGAAACAGCGGTGACTACGGATGGATCGAACAGAGGACGTCTATTGGGAAAAAGGCTTCTGATTGAACTTAGGCTCTTCATGCAGGCTTCCTCTAATGACCAACTAGATCGCATATCTAGCTCCAAATAAAAGCTTCATGTTGAACATCTTCTTCGAATCAATGCCGGGGTGGCATGTCATCTGCTTATAAGGTCTATCGATAGACTATACATTTTTGTGAACTTGAGGAAGTTCTCAATTTAGCCGTTGACTGCTTTTAGGCTGGAACTTTAAAAGGAGGGTCAACTGCTTAGAAATCTGAGCGATTCTCAATAACAACCAACGAGCTATATATATAAAATAAATAATAAATGAAGTTAGGCGTTGTTTACGAAGGCTGAGAATTAACCTGCCCGCTTAGCACCATTGCTTTCCTAGCCTACCATATGCTAAGTATGTATTTGTTGTCAAGCGCTGCTTCCAACAACACATCGCTACTATTCCTACCTGCCATATACGAGAGGAAACGAATGTAATTAGAGTTAAAGCAGAGTCGTATTGGCAAGGCCCATCACATTTTTATTAATCAGTGTAAAAAATACGGCTTAGGGACTATACGTTTTGATCGGGTGCAGTTTTCTTTGTAGCGCTTGCCATAATGTTATCTTCAAGCGAGGCCCGACAAACAGTTGCTTATGTCAACTAAAACAGACTCCAGTGACAAGCAAAAAAATCACTTCAACGTAAAAAACCTTAAAATGTTTTCTTTCAAAACGAGAATTAGATGTATGACAACGGGCGCAAGGTTAGTACTACTTATCTGTATTCAGTGTCGAAATATATCAAACTTTCGAGCGATAGCTCTTGACCAATATAGATCTATAGACAAAAAATTGCAGCAATGACCGTCGTGATAAAAAATGTAGAAATGGGAATAGCATAAAAATGTCTGCCTATCTTCGGCACTCAAAAAACTATATATATGTAATTTTTTTCAAATTTAAGTAGGGCCTAAATGAACCTATCGTGGATATATGCGTAGCGCTTTACGTGTGCTCGAGCAGAACAAATCATGCGCCCAATCTCAGAAACAATACACATATGTCCTGTGTACCACACCACAAACTCTGTCGTTTATCTCGCGCGCGGAGCAGAGTTCAACATGTACAGCATATAATCAATTTATATATATATTAACTAAAAACAAGGCTCCTTTATCTGCATTTTATGAATTTAATTGCTGTGACATTTCTTATTCAGTTACTAATTTTAACTATTATATATGTATATACTATAACTAAGTAGCTAAGGTTAGTTTTTGCTTGTTGACTTAGGAAGCTTTAGGGAAATGGTAAGACATCGGCCATTCAACGACGAAGATGGTGCGTTTGCAAAAATAGTAGACGAATATTCTAATACGACATAGTGTTTATTTTCGCGCGTACATGTCTCATAATATCTGGACTAAGCTTCCTTTGAAGTATTTAAAAACATCTTTATTATGACTATTTATTATTAATATTCTTGTTAGGGTGCTGACTGTGTTGTGCTGGAGCAACAAGGTAAAGTGTATACGTATATTAGGTGTGCAGCCCGGTCGCTATCGTCAGAATGGTTACTACCGGAACTGTTTTTTCAGGGCTGTTTCAACGATCTGCCAGGGTTTTAGAAAGATGAATTAAAAAGACGACGAGAAACGATTACAACCTACTCTTATTTGTTGTCCTGACTTTTACTGAAGGATCAGAGTGTATTTAAATTTAAGCCATTTTCGTATTCTCTCCCCGGATAGTAGAAAAACATCAAGGAACGCTACGTTAATCAGCTGCTTACGACACCTCTTGACTCACTTAACAACCCGACAACAGACAAAGTTGTTGTCAGCGGCAGCGACTGCTGTTGATAATTGTGAGGGCTTTCGAAGGGAACCAAATTGACTGTTGTATTTATAAGGCAGGGTCATGTTTGTCGACGCAAAGATATATATGGCCGCTAATCGATACTTGCTCAGTTAATTACTAGGGATATTAAATTATAACGTATATAAAGGCCATTTTGCACCGAATTGTACTCAGACGCTAGAACAAGCTGATTTAATCGACTCTCTTCACGATCTCCTTCGATTTCTCAACCAATTTATAGGTTTCTTTGCGGCAAAGATTTCGAAACGTGCCGTCAAGGCTCCTTGTACCGTCAAATGTACAGGTACTAATTCAATTTGCCAATCATCTGAAAAGATGGAAATCGACAGGCGAAAGGTCGAGGGAATATGGTGGGTGCGACAAAGACTCCCGCTCAAGCATTTGTGAGGCGGTTTGCACGATCTTCGCCAGTGCAGCCTGGCATTGTCTCGTATCTCGAGTGTTTTTTTTTTTTCGTTTAGACAACCTCGTTTAGTAAATGTACACAGATGCCTACTGGCCGTGATATATGTTTCAAGCGATTCCTTATATTGAAAATTTGTCCGGTTTCACCGAATGTGAATCACGAACTGCGAATTTTACCGAAATTTGGGATAAGGCCCATCTCTAGAAGTTAACCATCTCCTTTTTTCCTTCATATAGACCTGAAGATACCCATTTTTCGCCGCCTGTATCAATCCTGCGTGAAAACATCTCATCATAGCGCGCATTAATTACACTCCGGGAAAGGTCTGGACCTGTGAGCGGACAATTTAGTCGAAAGTAAGTTAAAATGAATTGTGTGCGGCCCGTTTCTCAGACTGCTGTTTTTGAACCACTTCCCGTATCCCGTGTAATAAGTCCTTTTAACCCAGCCAGAACATGTCTGAGCTCAAGCGAATATGCTATACCCAACGCGGCCACTATGACTGGGATCTATGAGGAAAGAAGAAAAGCCGTAAGCAAAACAGCGTATTTTCTTAGATTTGTTGAAACGTTCAAGGGTCACCTAGGTGCCCGAATCATATCTTGGTCCTTTGAAAAACGAAAGGTGTACGTTGGTGTCAGACTGAACGATTCTGCCAGATTTGTAGAATTGGTGACGCAAACACCCGACTTACGATATACTAATTTGCTAAGTGTGATCTGGATCCTCCTAAATATTTTGCTAAAGATCATGTGTTGCAATTCTTTGAAACTAAAGGTTGCTTAATAGCTGTCCAGCACAATTAGCGTTTGGGTAGTATCAAATGCCCTCGATGTTTTTCTACTGGATTTTCGTCAAAATTAATTTTTAATAGCTCTTCTCATCAAAATGGCCATTAAATGCAAGCCAGGTTCCTTTTCACCTAATCTTTCGCTAAGCTTATATTTTTCGTCGAAACAACGATTCTGACATAATTGTAGTTTTTGCGGAAGTGCTGTCTGCTGTGGAAGACTTCAATTAGTTGGCACCGAATAATAATTGAGAGAAATATAAAAAAGCATTGTTTTTCTGAGCTCTTTGGCTGGTTCAAGCACAGTATTTAAATAGCCTGTTCTTAAGTAGAAAAGGTAAGCACATTTGCTTCCGTATTTATTCACGCGTGTATGTCGCCGACAGGCGTTGAACGTGCAGCACGTAAATAGGATTTTCGAACAACGACGCTCAACAGTTCCTGTGCATTAGTGTGATGAATATCAACGCGAGTTTGTACAGGTGTAATGCTTTTTAGTCGACATGTTACCCTTCCGAACGATTCATATCAGTGTATTTTGGGCAAAGAGTTTTGAGAGTCAAAAGGGTGACGGTAATGATAGGTCGCGAACCGCAAAACACAAAAGCGGCCGTGACGTCTGGTGCAAACGTCAGCATCCTGAATGAGTCGATCTGGTTGACTCGAGCTTTAGAAACAACGTAGGCGCATAGCAACTACTCGTTATCAAGTTGAGTTAATTTGCCGAAACTTGAAGTTAGTGCATACCTCGAATTGATGATTATTTCGTTTAAAAAACGAAATTCTAATCGTGCGACAGAGTACCTAGCGCCTCGGTCGAGACTTCTTTCAAACTGTCCATAATATGAACATAGCGTAGGTTGGTCACGAAACAGCGGACCTGTCAAAGGTTCATTGGAAACTGTTAGGCATCGCCGAGTAGGCTTTTGTGACGGTTAGGTCTAACATTGCAGTACGGGTTGATATTGCTGTCAATCGTGTTATCGCCAATGCGTCTTGGCAAATGGGTTCAAGTCATTGCGGTATTTCTCTATGTCACTACTTGCTAGCATATCTTAACCCGAATAGGGGATCTATTATTAGAATGCGTAATATCATCATGCCGAACGGCGTGTTCTATAGACCGAGTGTAGCATTAAAGGGATTCGTTGTTTTATTTCCTTTGAAGTATGTGTTGTATGACGTTGGCTAATATTACTGGGCTATACGTAACGGCCTAAAGCCGTGTATGACCCAGTTGCCATAGCACAAACCCGAAATAATGACAAATATCGAATAGTGATAATAAGTTTGTTAATAAAGGTACAAGCTGTTATGCGATTTCGTATGTTAGAATGCAGACCGACGATAATGAGCAAGAACGTACCGACTGCGCCGTTATCCATTGATGATAAAGGCGAGACTTAAAGCGCGCTCAAAGCACGGAAGTTTCTCTACTGAAGTGGAAAATTAGGTTATAATCAAAGAAAATCGGGTCGATGTATAAAATGATTTTACTGCTATTTTTAGCAGGATGTGCACGATCCTTTTGAAGGGCTGATCATTTCGCGTAGACTACTGAAAGAGGAACAGTCCAGCGAGAACGAGAAATTTCACCTAGGATAAAATGATCCTGAGAAGAAGTCGTACCCTCCCTGGTAGATCACACACTGTAGCGGGATCAGACATCAGGTCGCCTACGAGTAAGGACAAGTAATCAAATCATTAGTTTAGATTTATATATCTGAAGTAACTTGACTCGCACGACCGTCTAAGGTAAGATGTGTTCTTTAGACAATCGTAAGGCTTGTGCTCAACTACTATCCGTATCTGTAATTCTTTTGATCTCTGCTTAACCATTCGAAACTAGTAACAAACTCTACGATACTCCGAAGTCGCCGGTTTTGGTATTAAGAGGTACAGTCTTTTGTTTACTAGAAGATGGAGCTTGCAGTAACAAACCGCTAATCGAACAGAGAAGAGGCGTAGTCCTTCGGACAACTGCGCAATTTTCTTTGGTTTCCTAAACTTAAGTGACAGATCATAAACAGTTTTTACAGAATTGTCGATTACATACGTATCAGTTTTATGCGAGCGTATCTGTTAAATAAGGACTGGAAATGTTGTTTGTGTTCGCAGCAGACTGTCAAATATCCCTCGTGAAACGAAAAGAGGAAGTATAAGGCAAGTGTCATCAAGTCGAGTTTATATGTACTATGATTATTACGACTTTCACATTCGAATCTCCGCTTCAACGAATAGAACCCGTGAACTTCACAGGCCGAAAGATACAAAAGATCTCTAGCCATCACGAACCTGGAGGCTATGAGGAGAGAACCCTCTATTGAAAATTATTTGCAGGAATAATCAATTTTTCATCGACATATTGTTCAATAGGTATTCGGTGGCTTTCTATCTGAGGAAATTAAGTCAATACTAGCGGGCCACATATAGGCTTACTTGCTTACCAAACTAGTGAATTCATGTTACCTAAACATATGCGCGTAAACGTTAATTTTCAACTAACCTGACGGCCAATATTTGGGAGTAGGCAGCGTACGCCAATAAAGTACCTTAAAATCAAGTACGCTATGTCTAATTTTATAGTAATGATACGAATGCTCAAAACCAGAGCAGAACATACTAGATCGCGCACCTTTACGAAATAGCAGGTCTATAATATTCTACCTTTCGTCTAAGGCGCCGCCTATTTAATGTCTATGTACGTGCATGTAGCATTTCAACATTAGTTCGCAATGGTTGAAAAGAGTATTTTTCCTGTGTTCGATCGTTCCCTACATGATTTTTCCTACTTTTCGATTTCAATAAGATTAAAGAACTATAAAATTCTTTAATATCAATCAAACATGATGTCAACATCAGTAGTTTTCAATTATTACAAATAATTATCAATAATTAATAGAGGAAATATTTTTTAGCTTTATTCATCAAAAGAGTCTTCATCCTACCTAAAAAAGGTAGGCTTGAGTCATTTTAGGTTGCAATGTCCTGCATATATACATCAACTAATAAAATCTAGACAAGATACGTTGTCTTCGCTCCTTCGAAACGTGAAGGTAACCACACTGAATTTCAGTCTGCATTTATCTCTTACGGGTAAATTGCTTCGTAAATCGAGTATCAGCGGTGTTTCGAAATGCTTATTGCTCCTCTTCGATGGATTGCTGATGGATCGGATGTTCGCTGATAGAACGGCTTCGACCAGGATCTTGTGGAATGAACCTTTTTCCATTACAGATTTTGTGGCTCAATCATCGACATGGCCGGTAACAGCTGCTAATCTAGAATACCACATCAGTATCTTCTGTTTTTTTGAAGGGAGTTGTTTTTTTTGGCTCTTGGCAACTGTTATCTGGAACTAATGTTAGCTCATTGCATGTTTTAAATAACTTAAATAAATAGAGCTAGAATTGGATATGACACGACAAAGATATTTAGAAATTTTATCTGATGTTTTTATTTTTCCTAGAAGTATATAGATTTGCGAAGGTGACAGCTGATAGGAGCATCGTTCCTGGCAAGAAATTTTCGCTGATACCACCTGTTAATTTACATAGAGATAAACTGAACTGTGGTAAAAGACAGGAATAAGTCATCAAGTGGTAGTTTTATTCGACATCTTAAAGTGTTTAGGCATTTTTTTTCTATCCTGACACTTAAAAGCCAAAACCTAAAAGCACCGGCGAACTGAAGAATACTCAAAACAATTTAACAAGTTCAAAACCACGGGGTCCTTATAAGTTAGAAGTTAAATAACTTCTACCATATAAAAAGTTCAAGAGGTAAGTTGCACCTAACAGCTGGTTTTAAAGGTTAATCTCAGCTCCAGAAGATAGCTGAGGTTAATTTGAGAGGAGATTTGACGAAGCACGAGGTGCCGGCGAAGACAGCAGCTCTATGATGTCTCATTTTTAAGGCACACTATCTATCTAACCATGCTAATCGGTACCCAATTATGACCCACATTACAATTTTGCGAATGACAGATGAAAAATGTAAACCGTAGTGGGTTTTCCGAGCATATTCTATTATGTGGCCGGTAGGACGGTACAGTGGACCCTCGGGACAGGTTTGAGAACTTCTAGCCTATTCATTTTAGAGGCGTCGAGGTCTAGATTTCGTCCTGAGAGGCAGCCATCTTATGAACTACGTAAAGGCGATACCGGACGCAAAACTCGGAAAATATGGGACAATACCAGGAAATTTTTGTATTATTTATGCATAGACAGTGCTTGAAACGGTGAGCTTTGCTAAATTCTAACTACAAGGCTTGCTGCTTCTCATGAATGCTAAATAAATACAGACTTTACGCATCTAAGGTCGTATATATAAATCAAACTCAGGAATCATCTCGTATGTAAATATATAAGCATGATAAAAAAAACGTGATGACTCATAGAATGACATACATTTTAGATTGAATGAACCTTTTTTCCAACAGCAGTGCCATAAGTACGGCTTTCATTCTCCCTTATAATTGTGCGTTGAACAGATTAATTATAAAGGAGGTAAGATCTTCTGCATTTTGACCGCCAGAAATGCGGCAGAAAACAGATTCTATCTAACAACGACCGGTATAACAAAATCCCTTCTTTCCATAGACTGTTGTTACTAGTCCAATTTGGTTACCTTCCTACAATCCGAGTACACTATCAAGTCATATGTCTGCAGCAACGAGCCTAACAGATCTTTCCTTTCGATCAACTTTTGCCGCACGACATGGTCTACCACGTTGGTCCACTAATTCACGACAGGACATGGCTTTTCGACGAGCAGGAGGGCTGGTGGAAATATTAACGACAGGGCCGGTTTTAATCTTGCGACCCAATAGCAAAACGATGGACTAGAAGCTTTGCCTCGAGACGACTTCTGTTGCATGCGGTTCTAGACACCTTGTTCGTAATGTTTACTGGCATGACATAAACTTTGTTCTCCAGCCCCATCGCCCGGAATTTCTTCGTAGTACCTATGCTCCTGGTTCAGACACTACAACCTGCTATGCCACCCTCCGTCTTCACATGCAGCCCTCTCCCCTTAAAAGGCCCTCCTCCGTATTGCCCTTGCCACATTTTGTTGCCTGACGCCATCTTTACTCTCTCGGAGTTTCGCCCCACTCGCTCCGACCCACCGACCACTTGCCCTGAAACAGTAACGACAGCAGCATCAGCAGCAGCCTAGTACTATACCAGAAGCGACTGCGACAGTCAGCCCTTAAAGCTCGCATAGCCGTCGTCAATAGAGTGCGGTTATTTGTCCAGTAATAGATTTTAAGTGACTCCCTCTTGCTGTTGTCTACGAAGTGACACACCCGTGAGAGTTATGTGCCGCAGCTGAGCAGTGTGGCTTGTGGAGTCGCGCTCAACCTTTTGCTCGTTGTTACAATCAGTGTCTAGAATTGCTATAGTTGTTTAACGTTCGGCGCTGCTAAAAAAGCGGTAATGGTTGCTTTGGCGTTTGAGGTGTGTTAAAGGGGCGCAAGTGTCCGATAGAAATTTGTTTCCGATAGAAACGCATAAAAACGTAGAAGGCGGTCCTCTTGCACAAGCTTTGATCCGGTTATCTAGCGGAGTGCTGTGTCGATCGAACGGGGGGCGGACCGAGAGCGTGGCTTCGGCATAAAGGAAGTGTGACCCCACGGAACTACAGAAATTACCTAGCAACAGACGCATAAACGTGTAAAGGGAGATTACACGAGGATTAGCTAGCGTTAAGATACATTCATCGAACAGTTTTGAGTTACGAACAAGCTCTGCACTTTAATGAGTTCAGGTAAGAAGTAAGCGACCGATGCCTTGATATGTTACATGAAAATAGATATGGACACAGAGGAAAGTAAGCCTATTATTAACGCTAGCTAACCTTCGACACTAAGTGGAGATCCTCCGTAGTAAAGATTTGCGAGACCAGATTAAATTTTCATGTATCCACTTATATATTGTTTCATATTGTCCCAATGAGCGGGTAACTTTGTCACTCACTGAGCCCAGATTTTTGTTCTCCCAACGAAAAATCTTTTTTGAGTAAGTGTACAGCCTCACACACGTATGACCACCTACTCGGTATAGTAACACGGTAGAGGACACGTTGAAAAGTCTAGTTATGTCTTTACAGAAATCCAATAGCCGATTTCGTTCTCGTATTGCACAACCATACCAGGTTCATTCAGTGACGTCTGTGTGCAGAGCATATATGACGGCCTTTAAGCTAGGGGCTAACTGACCAAGATGACTGGTTAAGCATTAGCTGATTGAGGCATCAAAAGCAATTTTTTTCGTTACCTTTGCCATATCTCTTCCTTAGCGGGGCCGTATTGCTTCTCCTAATGCATTCTGCACACGAAACAAGCGCTCGATTGAACGAGAACGGGCCCGTGATGACAAGGCCATGATTAGAATCGTGGAATCAATAACGTGAAAGGTACCTATTCTTGTGTGAGAAGATATCGGAAGCCGCAAAATCCATAGGTGGTATTTGTAAGCAACCATAATTTCAACAAAAAAGACAACAAGCTACAAAAACGGGCCACAGAGAAACTGGGCTCTTTAAGCTTCTTAAGCATTATCACGTGACAACATGATACGAGACTCGAGATTTTGTATGCTAACATTTATCTAGTTCTAGGACCAGCACTTGATCTTCGGCTCTAGCTACGTTTGCAGTCCGGCGATAATTCAGTAGTAACGTGCTTGCCTACTAAACTTGGGAACACGTAACATAAGGGTTTGAGCCCGGGCGTAGACATGCTTTGCCCTATGCTGGAAAATGTTAGGCGCGTAAACTTGTTTAATGGCAGTGCCAAACGTGAAATCGGAAAATTTAATTGTATCAGCAGCTTGAGCTTGAGTTCGCCATTGGCAAGACGCATAGTGAAGAGCCGAGTTTTATCGGTCCTGCCCATAGTCAGAAAATTATTTAATTCAAAACAAGCACTATATATATATATACCGACCGAAGAGTACAGTATATGTCATAATATAAGCGAAGGAAAAATTATATATAGCTCTTGTAGCATCTGTTAGTCATTGTTGTGTTCTATTTTATATAGATATAAGAGCCATTTGCTATGATTTGCTTGCATCCCCACATTTGCAGTATCTAAGTAAGAGTAAGACGAGTTCAGAAACGGACGCAGCACAGATCGTTAACCCTATAAAAAAAAACTAGGACGTTATTGATGTATGAATAATTACCATGCTAAGGTAGTCGTTTTCATCCGATCGCCAGTAGCTCTACATCGTGTCGGCTTCACAAAATGCATACTCATGCGTTTGCTTTAAACGATAGTTTTTTTTTCTTTCATTTCAAAACTTTTGCGCCGGATGGGTGTGCAAAAATAATTTTTACGCCACATGCGCACATGTGTTGCAACGGTGTTATGACATGTGATTATGTCCCCAAGATTGGAGCGTTTTGTTAGAAGTTCATCGTTGATTACTTAGTTATATGAATATGATGGGAAGGCATTTTATTTTAAATTGCTCTTTCAAAACAACTTGTCCACTTAAGCGTCTTTTGGAAATAAATTTGGCCTTAGTTAAGGTGATCATATGAATCGACGGTTCCTATGACAAGTCCACGCGAGGGTCACTGAGGGAAAATCAGAGGCCTAGCTGAAGATGTTCCGCCATGTCTTGTACGATACGCGACAAAATTAAAGACTTTGAGGACGACAGTATCTACGTATATAAAAAGAACTCGCTAAACCGTTTCATACGAATAAAAAGTATATTGAATTAAATACAAATTAAGGACCTCCTAATTTTCAAAAGAAAGCGATAACTGAAAAAAATTAACCGATAAAGTAAATCTAACAAAGCAAGAACAGGGTAAGGGATGATTTCATTTGATACATCTTGGCCCTCTATTGGAAACGAACCAAGATTATAGGAAGAGACAGATCGTTCGTTTAACCCAACAGCGGACGTTGCACGTCGTGCCCTCATCTGGAGGACGCGGTTGTTTACCGTATATTTATATGTACACAGTGCATATAAACAATCAACTATTACCATAGGGCTCAATAATAGTAACTAATATAACAGCCGATAGTGATTTAAGGCTTGTACGAACTATTATGAACTAGATCTGCTGGAAAATCTTTGGCTAGACTTTTCGCTCTAGCAGTCTTATATACCGTTTAATGTTGAAGACGACAAAGTGTACGTAGCGATAATAAACTACGTTATTTTAAGGAATAAGTGAAGCACCTTTTGTAACTTATCTATGTATAAAGGCATCTGTCTTTGAATAAACCCGTATCGTTAGTTTTTCGCTGAAATAGTACTATTGCATTTCAATCTTCTGCAATTTTATGAAAGTACGCGAGTATTTCCATAAGCCAGTAGCTGTGACCATTCAAGCCAATTATCGTTTCTTTCGTTTGTATATTTGGGCAATATCTTCATAAACGTTTTGTCGACCTGAGGAATAGAAGAAGTAGAAAAGGCAGGGCTAGTCTTATTGTTTACTTTATCGCCTAAACTTCTGATATAGTACGACGAATGAGATCGGGTCTTTTTTTCATTTTTAAGACTTCGTAAACTGTACACATTGTGGATAGTCCCAATATGGAGAATTCCAAGGTTTGCATCATAAACGCAGAGTTTCAAAAGCTAGGGAAGTTATACTGTTATACTTATCCTTCATTATTAAACCGCTCTTCTCACCCTCACTGTTTCTCCTGGACGATATCTGTTACAATATTAGTAACGTTTAAAATGTTTGAAGTATTACTCATTTCCCTATTATAGAACAAGATAAACATTTCTTCACTGCTAATAGCCTACGCAGCTAACTAATTCTAATCGCACCAGACTAAATATCGGGATCAGTTTGTTGACATGGGCACATACGTACGAACGCGTATATCGAAATGATGACTATTCCTAACTCTATTCCGAGATAATGCAGATCATGATTGATGAACTCGATAAATGGAAAAGAAAGTACAACCTCTCTGACTTCTATCACACTGTATTTTACGAAGAGCTTTTGACTTGCTCAGACCCACATTCATGCCACCTTATTTCTATCAGCCTATTTATAAAGACGCCCGGGCTGAAACCGTGTTGCTATAGCCGTCTACAAAACGCTCGCCCCCCTGCAATACGTTTGTTTAGCTTCAATAATGACTACTTTGGCTCCCTTATTTGTACACTGACATGCATGAACACATGCAGCATTTAGTCCACAATCGAATAATTTCCGATCTATACCCGTTCTGCTGTCTGAGTCATCCAATCTCTATTCAATTTCCAACTTCTACCTTAGCATGGCTCGTCGCGCAAAATCTGTTTAGCAAATGTACTCCTCTTCTGCTCCCTAAATGTTGAGCAAGGGGTCAAAGCTAGTAAAGCCCTATGTAAGTCCCTATACAGGGGTCGCGTGACGGCCATAAATGCGATATCGATCTTAGTGCCACTATCCACTCAACGGTCAACTTAAATACCATCAGAACCGACTGCATTGAACTGGAGTTCCTGTTCTCTGCGAGAATGCTGTATCTTATGCGGACAGCGAAAAACCTTTTTATAGGACTGGGGAGCTCTAATGCCCCAGAATGTCATTCGACGGTAATTCTTCGATGATCGATCTGTTGTTGGCAGCTACTGCCGCTTCTGGTTCTCTGAGAAGCGCCTTCCTTCTATCTTGCTCGGGGTCGACCTTTCAGGAGATTTTTGGAACTTCAAGGGCAGTCTGTCACCTTCATCTTGATTATCATAACCGCTGCTGGCAAATGAATCATTACAGTGGCTTCTTCGCACGCGACCTCACACGATATATCAACAATAGATGATTATTGGGTTCAACCAGATGCGTACGCAGACAGACATCCACACATACATATA